CGTAGTGAAACGAACATGCCACATCATCAGCAACAATAAGTACATGTACTCAGTATATCATGAAGAGAAATATCAGTCATTCGTCCGAAAAACCCTAAATTTTCAGGGATTAAGAATCCGAAAAAAAGTGATTGTTGTTGACTGTTGAAAGCAACCTTATCATTTGACCACTTCCATTATTCGTTCACGAGCAAGTAAGTGACTGAATGACGTCCACGCATTCTGATGAAAGAAATTATCAAAATTCATCGTTGGTGTGACTGGAAATGGACCTGGTTGTCAGTGTAATAATGATACTTCTTCATCGTTAATGGACACAAGCACTGTCCGTATAACAGTACGGTATCCTGAAGAGGAGAAGAAGTGAATCTTTCGAATGAAAAAACATCGTTCAATTTCGTAGACGCACAATGACGCGTTTATAGATAAATGATCACATAAACGTTAAATTGATTGACTTGAATTTCTCTGATTGTGAATGATTGACGAATCAATGAGTGGAATGAATGAATAGACTCTGATTATTATATATTGCTAGACGATTCATGACTCGCTGAGCCACCAATCAACGTTGAACTGTTTTTTGTAGATCAACCGATCGAATCGAAGATATTGCCGTAATTACCGAATGACATGGTAAATGGAAGACGTCACATAGGCTGCCCGTTGACCCGTTGGGTACTGTATTTCATTGTGCCTATCCGTTGGCGCAGTCAGTGAAACGTATTATCACTGGAGTTTACAAAAACCCGCGATTTTGTCAATCCCGATATCGTTTTTCAATCCCGGGACAGTCCCGAGACTGAAAGCAACTTTTGAAATACAGAAGTGTGACACACTCAGAAAACAATTTATTCAACAAATCATTCAACAAAACCCAATAAATTCAATGAAAGAAAGCAATTGAAATAACATCGCTATGGAAACAAAATCATTCCATTACGTGAATCAGTAGTTCGTATAGGATTAGGTTTGAGGCATTTGGTAATAGGCGGGCCTCTTGTCTCGTTGCAGAACTATGTTGTGCTTTTTGATTATATGTACAAGTAGTCCCTTCTTTTACGACCCTTTTGCTTTCCTTATTTCACCGTATATTTTACATTTCGCGATTCCGTTATCTTTTTTGAGAAGAAAATATTCTCAGCACCGAGAATGACCAGTGCTGCCGTCATATCTTTTGATATATCCGGACAAATTTGCACAATTCGAAGTCATATTTCAAGAATCAATACGAAATTAACGAACTTGGAATACAAAGCAGTGTTGACAACAGAAGGTGAAACAATAATACTATGAAATTCTTGGTCAGTGTTGTGTGAAGACGAAAGCCGATACAGTGATATGCCATAAATTATCTTTTCATTACATGTGGTTGTTAAACAACAAATATGAGTACATATGAATGAGCTGGATATGATTTATACTTCATTCATGATGGGTGCTTATGCTTCATTCATGACCAGACTTGTTATAAACCCCGGAAACATGAATCTCAATATCGGGATCAAGAATCAAAAACCGGGATTCGGGATTCGCGGGGTTCCGTGCAAGCCCTAATCATCATAGATAGCCACGGATTAAGGGGGTGAAAAATTTCGCAGTGAGTAGGTGTTGTCTCTCAGTTACGGTGTGGTCGTCCTTTGAGAACCAAATCGATCATCGGTCACTTATCGGTGTGATGAAACGTTCGCCGAATTGACATGAATTCGTCGAATGAGTACTGTCGTTATTGCTATCCTAATCATTTTAACGTCACCAGTGTTGTCGCTACTTATTACTAACTATGTCTAAGAAACACACTTTACAACGCCACTCCAATTATTCATTATCAATCATGGTCCATCTGTTATACATTCTTTTCATTTTGATCTACCCGTGCAAGTGCATTAGAATTCAATCGAGATTAAAGTAAATCATATATCTTCAGCAGTGCAGCTTTCCCACTGTATTAGTCACCTTATTTAGCATCATATAGATTTACATTATATCATATTTACACACGGAATTTACATTATGACTTTCGAGAGCTATCCAAGAAAAATTATCAAGGTGATGAAAAGAAATTGTCCGATCTAAAGATTCGATCATCACGATTTTTTAGAATGTTACTTGTGATCATTCATTTCTAAATCATCATTCGAGTTACGCTACCACCTAACAAATTCATCTTTATCGTTACTGATTACTGTTAGGCTCTATCTACCATTTAATTGGTGTACGCTTACAATCAAAGACAACCAATGAATTTTGTTCTGAGCTTTGCAGAAAATAAGAAAGAATTTCCAACCAAAACGTGCAGAAAATTCGAAAAATAGAGGTTGAAAAGAGTTTCACATTGACATTATGTTATGTAAGCACGAATGGCTGCCATCGTTTGCATACGAAATAGATGTATGAATGAATAACACAGTTATGGAAAATTAGAAAAGCGACAAGTGCAGTGTCTGATAATCCTGCAGAGAATAGTGAAGAATCGATTAAAGCGAAACGACGAATGAAGAGGAAGTGCAGAAAGGGCATAACTCTTAAACGAATTTTGAAAGAGCCGTGATCCATTGATAAAGTATAAAAGCTAATAATCCATGGTTTATTCAAATAATATGCATGATGGATGCATTTGCATTTTTTGAAACAATTTTTTTTTCACATTCATGAAGAATGCATGTCCATTACAATTCATCTTAGCAATCATGTTGTTTACACATAGGAGTGCATTTGTTGTTTGATGGAAATTGGTTCGGTTCACTCGTTCCGATTTTGATTGAACTGCGATACATATTACATTTCGTATATCGCACATAAAAGATGTGTCCTCTCACAAAACACGACATCTTCCTCTGAATGCAATGATGACGAGACGTAAAAAAATTGAGAGCATCAACAGCAGCAACGGTAAAAAAAATAAAGTGCACATTTGTCCGCCCGGCTAGTCAGTCGGCTAATCGTTTGCTAGTTCCACCCATTCAACTAATCCATTCCATAAAATTCGTCCATCCATCATTCCATTTACATGAATATACATAAATCACATGTTTTAAAAATATACGGATACATGAGAGGATAGGCTAAGAATTTTTTGGTGGCGATGGGTGGATAATAATAGTGAATGGATGATCTCAGAAGATTTTATTTATGTGCTCTTATCTGCCAAATATTTATTTGCTCGAGGAACATTCACATTCGGCATACTGGTGCGTGTTTATGCGATAAAATAATGTGAATGTTTCAATATTATTTCGAGTCAATTCAAAACTGAACTACCCACTCAAACCTTCTCTGTTCATTTGTGCTTGTTGCCGGTGATGGGAGAAATCGCTGATACCTTTAACGGCTTAAGAAATAGTCTTAAAAGCAACAAAATCCTTAAAGATCATACTTTGAAAAATCGGTTTTGAAGGCGTTAGAACGCACCACAATGAGATGCGCATATCAATGGCAACTTATAATGCTCATGCGGGTTCATAAGCCTACTAGGATGACTTTAAGCCCAACTATCAAGAAATAGGCTCGCGCACAGATTTAGCCTCATCCTTATGTCTACACACATGCTCTGGCTAAAGCTTACACTCAGTATGAAAGAGACTCAAACTCATTCGCGTCTTTTGCTGCCTGATATTCACCGATAAGGTTTCTGCTTGTTTCCGTTCTGTTTTTTGAGCGTCATAACATCCAAATGATCTCTTTTTAAAATGGTTTCGGTCAAAACTGAGAAAACAGCAACATCGAGATGAACAACATCATTCGATACAAGACAATACTAATTATTAACGGCATTACAAACCTGAGACTGTTCCATAAATAGCTGAGAGAATTTGACATTTATAAAGTTTCATAAATTTTTACACCTCCAATGAAACACGTTCGATGAAATATTAATAATTATTAGTATTACATAAATTTTAATATAATCAATTATAATTGGTTGGTAGATACACTCATTTGAATGATGAAATCCAGTCGTGAATCTCTCATGTCTGTGCGCTGCGTATTACTTGGTTATTCTTGTGCGAATCAGTTATTCTCAAACTTTCAAAAACAAACTTTTCAGATCATTGCATTATGAAGAAAATTATATTTTATTCGCAGGCTTACAATAACTTTCAGTTCAGAAATGTCGATAATGAGAAATTTCAGAACATCAACTGCTACTGTGTCAGCAAGCCGAACAGGATGTATAAGTAACGAGACAAAACGAACATCCTACAACGTAATTTCAACATCTCAAAACAACGAAATCCAAAATGCTGCATAGAGATTCAGAGCCACATAAGTATTAAGAACCATTCATATCATCAGTAAATTACACTAAATCTTGCATAATACCAAAGTTCAAGCGGCATTCTTCCCTGCTTCCTTAGCACGGATTTCCATCAATATCCGAGCAGGATGGATGATTGTGAAAAAGCACACACCCTCACTGGCGACGTGGAAATGGAAGGGTCAAATTAAAAACATGTTGGTTAGTATGGAAACGTTCAGATCTAAAGCAATTTCCATCAACTTCCAATCACAATAATCAAAAAAGTCCGCTGCCTCATGAAAGGTCATACTCCCTTTGCATTCATCGTCGACTGGAATACGTTGATTGAGTTTCTGTTGTTGTGATCGACTTTTGATTGATTTTCGTAGACGTTGATGAACTGACGATGAACAAATATAGATTGTGTGCGTGCATTAGAATGATTGGCAGGTAGACCAACGCGTGGAATGTCCCTGAAGAAGTGAAAAGAAAGTGCACTGGATCAAATGAGCGATAAGTATTTTAATTCAATGATGCTAACTGAAACGTATCGGCATTCCTCGAAGGGAACTGAAGTGAACTACAAATAAGTTATTCATATCATTCTTAGAAATATTGTGTTGATTGACAATGGTAATTTCGATTGTCAAGAATTGCTTGCACACAATAGGGCATAATGGGCTAAAAATGCTATCAAATGCTATCTAGGCCTGAATAAATTTAACGTGCCTGAGTAATCTGATAAGAGCGTTTGTTGGTACTAAGATTGGATGAGCATTTTACCGATTATAATCACGATTAAAATGGTTTTGAAGCACGTTTTCACTACGTATGAGTCGAGCGTCGCCAGTGTCATAATTCCCAATAAGACCGATACGGACGCTTGTGTTACTGGCCATCCAACAGCACCTAACGCTTTAACAAGTTGTTGATAAGGTGCTGCTGTTGAATGTGCATCACTGAAAGAAATTTCGTCGATTCCGCTCAACCTTGCTCATCTGCTTTTTCCAGCTGTTTGTGTAATAAGGTAGATATCGGGGTTCAGGTTGGCTAGTGACAAAAAAAATTCACTCAACAACAATTTGTCCTCTTAAGTGAAATATTTCCATTCATTTTCTCAGTTCAGTTGGAACTCAGACTGCGCACGAGACATGCTCGAAAATGTGTTCACCTATCAATATTTCGTCGGGATTATCTGTTCTGTTCGCAGTTATTTGCTAATTATAACTTTGTTGTCGAGTTCTTTTCAGCGAGTGAATTTAGCACATTGATCATGAGCTTTTACCTGATTTCATTCTTTTTCGTTTCCGTCATATAGCCATAAGTAATGTGTGCAGCGAAGTCAACACTGAAGCCAACCGACATTGCGATGGTTATCATTGAGGTGGCATCCAAATGCACCGACCAGAGTGTCATAAAACCGATCACACCAACAGCTATTGATGCTATATTTAAGGCGATCACTAGCGCACATAATGGCTGTGGTATAAATAATAACGACACTGGTATCATCACTGCTGAAAAAAAACCTACATCCACACTACTATTGAATCAATCACGCTCAGTCAATCCATCCACGACTTCAAATAAGCTCTTTTGTCGTCTGACTGAATTTGACTTTGTGAGTAATGTAGCCTTGTGACTTTCAAACTTACCAATGGAAATATACAAATCTTGCATTGTTTGCGGCCACATAATCTCAAACTGGTCTGCAAGTGCCCACAATTGAGTGTAAGTTGTGATATTAAATTCACTCTCGTATTTTGCAGCCGCTTCTCTGCAGGAAACTAAACTGATTGCATGATCTGTTCAACTGATTTGCTCGCATTATGAAAATCGAACATCATTAGATCATCAACTACAGCAATACAAATGTCAGACTAAGATAATACCTGAAGAGTTTTGCACACAGAATTATATGCTCGTCAGAAGGTTGTTTATTTATCAGTTGTACGCTAAGACGAAATGCGCGCATTGAGCCATTTTCATAAAGCAATATGTCGTGAGCGTATCGTTCATTCGTCATCAAAAACGATTTCAAATTCAGATTAAACTCCTGAAAAGCAAAGTAATCATTCAAGTTGTATGCATTCTGCATCAACATGCTTCTGCTGTCAGCTATCTCATGCACTGTCCTCAACTCATCATCCAAGTTGATCTTATCCGAATGTTGCCGACTGAATAATTTATTATGACAATAGCATTTAGATAGCTGTAAAGAACATACTGAGTGGCTTTTTTATAAAATACATCCTTCTTTTTGACTGCAAAACATGCGAACAGATGGCTTTTCATAGTCGAGAGAAACCAGATTCCGTGCTGAGGAAACATCTGTTGTGAACAAATTGTGACCAGGAAGCAGAAAAATAATTCTGAGAATAATTTTGACTTGCTGTTCCAACGATCAATTCAACCCCAACAATTTTGCAAATATTATATTAACACCTTGAAAGAACAAAAAACGTTCTATAAAATTACTGATCTATCTAAATTCTAAACAGCAATGTCAATAAATGTATTGATTTTGAATATCTACATTCCAAAGAAACAAGAAGTTGGACCAACCGTCTCATTCTGATTCAACGTGGCCCACGAATCACCGAATCCCAGTCGACTAACGAAACGTTGATATGCAAAGTACCAGAAATCAGTTCCATTCTGTCCAACACTACAATTCGTCTGTTCTAGCTCATTGAGAGCCTCAAAGAAGCGAATACGAGCATTGTGATCACCCATATTCGGTGGATGCATCACAGCGACATCAACCTTTGTGGCAACGTTTACAAAAAGTTCATTTCGGATCTCGAGAAAACGACGTGGTGGTGAGTCTTTTTGTATGATACTCATCAACTGCAATCAAATACTGTTCATGCACGAATCAACATTTACCTCTGTTCGCTTCAACAACGTTGGAATTGAATTCAAGTGCAAGTGAATAGTCCACAAAATTTGCTCACTAGCAGCGAATGAACAAACAAATTTGCTACTTGCAATCCATCATAATAAATGATTCAATTTTGGTAATTAACGAAAAAGAGATTGAAAAAAGGCGTCAAAAAACACACACATCGAATCCCACTTTAACATTCTTCGTACCCCAACAAGCTATTGCCAAATAGACGATGAATGAAATTAGTGCGATCGTTTGAATGAGCGTATTCGCTATGAATGGGGCATAAAAATCTTCAAAGAAACGTTGATACCAAAGACGATTCTCGAGCGCGATTTTCTAAAATGATCAATCGAATGCGAAAGAAGAACGATGAAATCCAAAAACAAAATTCTTCTTCTCCAACTACCACCACAAAGCAAACAAACATTCCTCAATAAACATTTCGGCTGAATCCTATGCGTATAAGCCAGAAAATTGCATCAAATAACGTCAATCATCGATGATCACAAAAGGAGTGCAAAAAACGCTCACAAATTCTATCAAAATTTTGCGCACAATCTTTGCGCTTGAACGATGAACATACACGACAAATAGCAAATGTCGGGCAGTACGATAATAATTACAATGCATGATTTGATTATGTGGTTTAATAGAGCACAATTAATAGTAACTATGACCAAAGCTTGATGCAAAAGCGCCAGCAGGAACGTTAAGCAAGACAAAGTTTACCTCAGATCGGGAGGATGTTGATAACGGAGAACCATTCAAGTCAGTGTGTATGTGAATTTCGCGAACCGAGGTTCGACTTCCCATATTCAGGTATCGTTGCATGAATGAAACGGTTTCTATAAATCTCTCATTACCGGTCACTGTTATGTATTGCTTGCTATTCATATCGTAACAATCTTTGTGAGCAATAATTTCAACTGGACTGATCACAGAACACTGAAGTTCTGTAGGATTTGGCGGAATTACGATCAACTACGGGTAAGCGGGTGTTTTGAATGAATGAACAACTGCACAAACTGTATTTGTTGAAAAATGCACCTTTCTTGTCAAAAAACACAGCCGCCGGAATGTGGGAATGTTTATTTTTTCACTGTTCTAACGACAATGTTTCTCCTCCCCTCATTCTATGAAAGTTCAATTAATGTAAAGTCATTTATACACTTCGAATGTTTCGGATACGTTTTTGGTTCCTTTTCAGAGAAATCCGATCGACGGGAGATGAAAACTGAAGAGGGAGTTCATGCCCAAAAGACTCAGTCAGAACAAACCGATGTGTTCAAATGGTTCAGTTGGAAGGTGCAGAACACAGTGACGATATGACTCTTCCCAACGTCCCTGAATGGCGAGGAATGCGACGAATATAGTCAGTGAATATGCGAATATGAAACATATCGCCGCAGATGAATAATAACAAAAATATATCACCTGAAATCAAAGAGTTGAAATAGTATATTTAAGTAATTTGATCATCATTTTATACCTAAACTAATCACTCACATAAATTCAAGCAAAAGCAGTATTGAAATAACGGAATCTGCATTGATTGCTCGAGAATTGCACGTAAATTATAACCAAAAAAAGCAACATCAAAACAGAAAATGAACTAGAAAAGATAGGAATGAAACAAGAAACTGCAAAGAATTTTCATGAGAACCGCTGGAAGAGGCGCAATTGAACCAATTATGAAGGCGATTGCGTCCGTTAATGAGGTGATACTGATCGAGACGGCTGCATGACGCATTGCACGTTCGATACGATCTTCAACGACGCTCGACACTGATGAAGAACCTTCGCATGGGGGATAGCAATGTCGAATTGCTGTTTTCGTTTCATGCCATGCAGCCAACATCAAGAATGTATCGTCTATTCCAATGGCTACAAACAGAAGCAAATTAAGAAGAACAACTATACTTCAAATAAAAACGGCATTTCTGAAGAAATTGTCTTAACAAATAAATCAGAATGAAAAAAGATAATTGCTAAACCACAGCTTACTTAAACTGAGAAATGGCATTACAGTAGCCATATCGACGAATGTCACTTTGAAAAGCAATAAGAGACCAGTTGCAGAAACGATTGCCATTAGTGTCGTGATAACACCAACAATACCCATAAGCGGTTTTGAGGTAACCCAGTCCACGACGGTCACGAAACTACCGTTTCTCATTGGTAAGATATTCACATTAAAAGTACACATCACTGAGAAGATCGACAGAATGATGAACGTTAGCAAAAAGCTGCAAGCAGAGTCAGTCAATCGCTAATCGATCTCATTTCCAATTATGTTGGAATGTCGATCAAATTTCGATCATCACTATGATCCAACAGTGACCTTTTTTGAGTTTGAACAAATCAAACGAGAAATTCAGGATCGTTCACGGTGGATTAACTGAGTTTTCCAGGTGTAACTGATATTCAAAGCTGGAAACGTGTCAATTGGCTGAGAAAAAATCTCCGATGAACGAAAAATTGAACCTTGGAATGAGTCGACGATTACTTTCCGCTAACTCTAACTCGAACGTATCTGAGTGAAAGTAGTAAACGTTGAAGAGACTCGTTGGAATATGACCCGAATTGATCCGCTCACTAACGGCTATTTCGAAGTGCCTAATGTAACAATATTTGGAGTACACGTAAGAAAGTTTCAAGTCAAAATCAAAAATGAGATCGATTGTTGAAGGAAGAGTATCGCATTGAAGAAGATTTTTAAAACCATAAATTGTGAAACGATTATGAAATGCGATCTTCACAATCGCGTTGAATTGTTAGAAGAACATCAGTGAAAAACTCACGAGCTTAACTTCATCATAAGGTCGCTATGCTGCTTTAATTGATACAGAATCATCCACGTTGACGCATACAATAGTCGTTGTCGTGAATTTGTTTCAATACCACCTAGTGTTAATGATAGATCAATCGGTTCAGTTGAATACTGCGAATAGAATTTTGGATATGTCACATTTAATGCATCCTGAAAGTTCATCAAAACAAATGCGTCTTCAAATTCGAAACGGTTGTTTGCAGTTGGCATAAATTAATCGGTTCATTTATTTGCTTAAGCGCTAGCAGTGTAACAATAGTAAGTTATTGTGCTCTGCATGATTTACTGATGACCTCTATTGGAATAAAAAAAGCTCCAGTCTTGATTGTAAGAAAAGACGCTTACTTGATCACCTTTCGAGAAGATTTCGCCCAAGAGCCTAGCATGAGCATTTGTGAAACAATCGTTTTGAAATCGTAAACAAATATTTCTGTAACTGTATTCAATACCATCATCAGTTTTGAAGTGCTCCGTACTAATCCAGTCCAACAAACGCACAAACTCGTTCGCATACGATCGCCTCAGCACACTACCATAATCCTTCGCTTGAACCATCAAATAGAGACCTTTTCGTCGCATGATATCCTTACCTAAAAAGCTTAAAATCCTATCTAAGACCGCACTTCGATAAATGCACCTCAACTATGTAGCTATACTCCACCATTCTTCAGCTTCATTGATGTCGTGCTAATGGCAATTGCTATCATATCTTAATCATAATGCTCGACAAAAATCACCTGGATAAAACTGTTGATCAGTGGCAGCCCAATTGCGATGCAATACTTCTTCCTCGAACTTCCATTTCGCATTCAACGGTGCATACAAATAGCGAACACCACGAACAATTTCAAAATTCAGAAATATCCCCGTTGAAAGAAAACACGTCAATAATGTGGGAGCAATAATGAAAGGCCACGGATACCTTCAAAGAAAAATTCTTCACCATTTCACAACCAACTGCCATTATAAACCAACATAAGCCAACAGTCCATATAACTGATTTTGACAAAGGAACAAACGAACAGTCAAAGTGTTCATCTCACCTGGCCACAAATCTACAATATCGTCCGAGTAAATTAGCCAATGGTTTTTCGAGTGGTGCCCATCTGCAAGAAGCGCTCGTTTTGGTGGGGTCCTTAGAGGAAATTGTCATTTCTGAAATAAATTAATCATGCTGACAATGACCGCATGACAATGACAATGATCGTCACTGAATATTATTTTCTCTGAAAATCTCAACGCTAGAAAACTGTTTATATTTTCCAGAAGCGAAACACCGCAGACGTTTATCTAAGAAATGACAACATCTACAAAGAATTCTATCAATTTGATATGAAATACACAACTCTTCAGAAGGGAACCTCATGATTCAAAGTCTTTTATTGAAATGGAAGCAATGACACAGATCCTCAATGGAGAATCCGGCACACTTATTTGAAGGATCATAGACACACTTTAAAAATCGTGAGAGGAATTACGTATGTAGTTTTTGAATAGAAACAAGATTATTCTATCGATTTCGTGTACTCGCGTACTGAGATATGCATTCAAACACATAGTATAAAGTTTCTATTATAAATACAGATATTTAATGAAATTATCCCTTTTAAGAAAAGTAGAGTGTAGTCAGAATTACATCATACCAGTTCACAGCTTCGGCCTCGAGAAATTCGTAACATACTCATCTCAAGACAAAACCACTGAGTTTCATATGAGAATAGTATCACAGAAATTCCTAAGCCAACTTAATTACCTACAAAAATCAAAATTTAAAATAATTTCCGAGAAATTTTGACTTGTTTTTAAAACATCGTATAACTTAGCTTAATTTAAAATGGACTTCTTGGAATTTGTGAATTACAGTTATGAGCAAGCTTCAGCTTATTTTTTGGACTCGAATATCGATCTCTAATAATGGAACGATTATTATGTATTAATTTCCAGTGCTTCAGTAAGTTCAACTTTCAATATTCAGTGAACTGTCAAGTGGGCTACCGCCCACTAAATCATCAATTAGAATGATTTCGGCATCTACCTGAAACATAAACGAAAATAAAAGCTCGAGAAGTCGTCCGTTTGATTTCGGACCATTTTATGTTTGTCCATTTGATTTTGAACTAGAGTTTGAACCATTTGATGAATAGCAAAACAGCACAGCCGCTCACTTTTTGAAATTTCCAGAATCTTTATCTTGTATCATCCATTATCCTCGTCAATACGCTGACAAAATAAATAAATATCTGGAATGGTTTTATTTTCATCTGATCCGTTGGTGTATAACGTGTTCCCAAACCTGATTCATTGCGATGGTCATTACGAACATCATTAAAATGATTTTTAACCAACCGCAAAAAAGATTGTTTACATATGAGTATGAATGACAAATCGAAGAAGGACAGCGAGTTGCGTGAATTTGGTTTATTCAAAAAGAAATGAAAGAAAAAAGATTATGGTAAAAAGCGAAAGATCTATTCGAAGAACTAAAGCCATATTGTTCGCTTATCGTTTCGTTCGGTGCCATCGTATTCGAAGGCCTCTTCTCCACTATCTTGTTCATTTATTGCAAGAAACCAGTACAATCACATCCTTATACAAACTGCATCATCAACGAAATCAACGTTCATAGATTCATTTATTGTGTTTGATGGCTTTATTTAGGAATCACACCGTTCTTCTTTTCATCCTACATCTTCGTGCTTCTTTGACAGCCCAGTCATTCACAAATCGATCAAATCTAAGGAGACTGAAAGCGTGAAATTTATAGTATACAATTACTACTTTTGTCTGAAAGAAAAATAGCTAAGTTGCAATTTTCTACCATATTCTGTCACATTTGTCAGTGTTCTTGTATGTTTTGGTGGTGATTCTACCATAATACGGCGCTTGAATCGTTGAACAATATATGAAGATATAAATCAGGGTTTCTCGGCCGACGAAGTAAGATGACATGCCAGGGGGTGCGAGAGAGGATGATGTGAGAGGGGATACGATGAGACGGAGTGAGTGAGTGGTGCGGGAGGGCTGCGAGATAAAGTTTCAGTGTAATGTAGGCGAGGATTGACTTCAAGTTTTATGTTTTTGTAAAGACCGGAACGTACACTAAGGTTTATACACTTATCTGCGCTACAGACATTCACTGTAATGGATGAAAGATAAAGAGCGGGTGTTGTGAGAAGTTCGGGGACATTTTAGGTATTGTTGCAGGCGGTGCGAGGACATTTTTGGTTGAGAACCACTGACATAAATGAAGAATGAACAAACAAATCAGTGAAGAAGTTTTTACGGAAATAATCACATATCATCCCATATTTGCTAACTGCAGTGGTTATTCCGTTTATTAAACCAAAAAAAAGAACAATAATTATCATTGAAAAGTGAGTACGGAAACGGAACGAATATTCAATTGAAAATTTAATCAAAAGGATGAATAAAATCGAGAAAACAACTGCAATAGAAAGTTTGTTCAGGAATCATCGCAAGCCACAGACACACAAATGAATTAGTGTGGAATGGAAAAGTCGACCTGCTGATTGTAGGAAGAAGATATTCAACATTTTCGTGAAATAATGTTATTCCTTGACTTTTCTCCCGTTTTTAATGGTTTCGTTTGAACTGAAGCAATCGTCAGTAATTGAGGAATCATTGTCATCCATTGTGGCCTGTCCTATTTGAGATAATATGAGGCCAAAAGAAAGCAACCAGTTTTGTGATGACATGACTCATCTAATACGGAATTCCAACTTTTGAAACATCATTGAATTCGACAGCAAAAATGTTTCATCGATCGAATCGATTCAGCTGAACCAAAGAATGAAAAAAAATTGTAATTTCATTAGTCAGCTTTGTCGATTTTAGTGGATTGTGGATGAAGATGATAGGTCACAAGCTAAATGTTCAGTTTTCGAAAACAGAAACGAAACAGGATTTCAGGATATGAATTACCTCTCAGGATATGAACACACGTGAATTATTTATTAATTCAGTAGCTAGTTATTGGTTTTGATGAATGAACATAAGTAGATACTTGGTCATTGCGCTATGTTAAAGTGTTAGTAACCCATTCATAAATACATATTATTATTGATCCTAATAATAATAATAATAATAATAATAATAATAATAACAAGTCACACAGCAAATGAATAAATATTTGAATTGGATCAATGTAATAATTGATACTTCAATAAAGTGCTACAGATGGAACTGCACAGAGAAAAAAGCCAAAAAACACAAATCGGCGAAATAGTAAAAGCGATAATCGAACTGCTAAACGACAGTCGAAACAATCGAATAATTATTTACAAATTATTGACAGAATAAACGGATAGAAAAACAAATAACGAGTAAACGAATCAATAAGTAACATACAAATACATAAATAATTAATTAAATGAATGAACAATCAAATAATAAATTAAGGATTGTGTTCTCATGCTAATCAAATTTTGGTCTATCCCGAAAACATAGATGATCATTCGAAATGAATTGGCACTCTAGTCGTTGTTCGTTGGTCAGCGTTGCCATCGTTTGGCGCTGTCTTACGTGAAAGAAGATTAAATCGTTTCATGTTATTTTTCTTTGCAATTACTTTCTAGCGAAATATTTAGCTAACTAGAGTGGAGCAGTTAGCTGACTGGACAAACAATCAATCAACACTGATTATTCTAGATCGATGGCTGTATCTATTATATGAGTTGTGCATGAGCTGCAGCAATTGCACCATAGGTTCCATAAAAGAGTTTTGCGGCTGCTGCTGCGGAAGCAGACGCAGAATTGCTTTCAGGATTGGCGACAAAACTGAACGGGGTAGTTGTCTGTTGTGGCGGTGATGATGCAGACGATGTAGCAGATGATGCAGAACTGCGGAAAAGAACGGCGGCCGGATGAATTAGTGAACCATTTAGAGCGGGTATTGCGGTTGTAGCACTCAATGGGAGACTGAAATATGAAGAGAAAAATGTTCACAAATTTCGTGTAAAAAAGTTCGTTTCAGTCATTTTTCATGTAGCTTTTCGCTTCTTATAAGTAAAATATTCAATATTGATCCCTTTTTCACCACAGTTTCAAAAATTCCAAGAAATGTAATTGTTTTGTTTCAAGTATGCTAGTTTGCGCACTTTTTCTATTCTTTACTGAATGAAAATGAACAAAATAGCATAGAACGGTTCGAAGAAATGTTTAACGATTCAATATGAAAGGTTCGTTTTTTTTTAAACTATGAAGGTTTGCTCATGATTAATGATAACAATAGATACTAGACACAATAAAATCAACGGTAAACCTTGTGGTCATTTGGTGCGATGTTGGAAGCCTATCGCACTGTGAGCCAATCTGCTGTAAATGTGGTGCAAAAATATTACTCCTATGTATATTCAAGCCAGCTGAGCTGTCCATTTCGGTTACCGCTTGTCGTTTCCATTTGTTGCGTCGATTTTGAAACCATATTTTCACCTTTGAAATTTACAGACGTTAATCCCATTTGTTGTATACCTATATGGCTAGTCTCAAAGAGGCGTGCAGCAAGAAGTACCACTGAGCAGACAACCATCATAATTACCTGTGTCTCGGTAAGGCGAAGTGTTGAGGCAAGGTGTGCTCGTTCTTGACTCGACAAGTATCGTTTCATGTCGAAAGTCATCTCAAGTTGTGATACTTGCTGCCTACTGAATACGGTGCGTGTCTTTTTCTTACGATGCGCCGAATCCGTTGCAGCAATCGTTGCGTCGTCGTCACTTGCCCTCGTCGTATCGCCTTCTTCATCATCCTCTTCATCATCTTCTTCACAGTCACTCTCCAACGGCGATGAGCCGTTCACTGACGAATAACATCCATTTGCTGTTTGAACAACACCTTCATTCAATCTTCCTTCAGCATTTACCGACTGAAATTTAGAACCATATCACATCACGTCTATCACAATAATATGCCATCTAATCTAATCTTCAGTTGTAGCATTAATGATATTGTAGAACCTTTGTATAGATCAATAAATTAGTTCATAATCGGATAAATTGATCCATCAATCAAACTATCAAGCACTTATCAATCCATATATGATACACATCAGAGATAGTCGTTCGATCAGAGTGACTAACTTAGTTCAAAACTTCATTGTGTGATGCGAAGATCTCAATCAAGATCGTTTTAGGATTTTTAACATTCGTTCACCATTGTTTGCAAAATGACAACAATGAACCAACCGAATGCTCAACAGCGCAGGGTGTGCGTTGTTCGGATGCGGAACTGTTCTGCAGCGTTTCATTGCGTTGTTCGATGTTTGTTGTGTTGTTCGTATCAAACTTCCTATATGATTGCTGATGAGGAGAACGATGATGATGATATGCTGATGAGACCAATCGAAACAGATCGGTGGGCGGTGACGAGAGATTTGGTGATGAAGAAGTCGATAAACGTTCCGCAGCAACTTGAGTTTTTTCCACTGAAAACACGATAAATTCTGATTGAATAAGTTATCTTGTGAGCAAGAAACATCTGATTAATTTAATTAGACGCAGAAAATTTGCAACCGAGGACCAAAGCAGTGAATTCAACTGTTAAATACTGAATTAGAATAGTTGGTAGATGAATGATTGAATAAGCGAGGACCGATCGTCATTTACAACATTATTCATTCTCACATAGTTCATTGGTTACTTACTGATGAGAAGTCAAGCTGCAATTTGTAGACATTCAAGATATGCGAGACAAAAAGAAAGACGGGTAATAATTGATTGAAAAATGATACATATCATATTGAGTCAAATAAGTGTGCATGGATTATTGAAGATTACCGAGTGCAAGTGCCATTGTTTCGATATGAAAGGATGATGATGAATAAATTATGATATCTTTATGTATGAATAAAGATAAGTTTGGATTTATTTGTGTATTAATTAGTTTCATATATCATCATTAATTTCATCATCCATCTACGGTAATTGTTTGCATTGTGCATTCTAGAAATAACGATAATTGGCAGCAATAATCTATCAACAGACCTCAGTGTTCGTTTGGTAATGTGCAATGTGATGATGATATTTGTATAGCATGCTCGGATGAGTAGTGCATAAATGAATAAATGGAAGATTTAGATGCCTTATTGACTCATTGACGGATTAGCATGGATGCTCGAGTGGCTAAATTTGCATACTTCTTTTTATCAAAGAGGCACCTGCCGCTGCCACTGCCACTATGACTAGCGTTATCAGTATGAGATGATTCTGACGATTGCTTATTCGCTCATCATGATGATCAACAATGCCCTCTTATTGATGAGTAACTTTCACAAATGACCACTATAAAGGCAACAATGAATATTTTCTTTATTGAAGGTTGTTTATTAAGGATGCACTGATTTGATATTCAATTGCTTCGTTGAGTTATAGATCAGAGACATGTTAGCAATACCATTCGTTCAAGATGTGTTTGTACTGATTGATCGCATTGAATTTGATGAATTTATGGGTGAAGTATCCAAGATCAAAACGAATTTAACATAAATTCACTTTTTTATAACAATTCCACGGAATGGTCGTATTTAAGATAGCAATATATAATAGTAATACTAATATTATTACTCTAATTAAAAAATAATAATCATAATCATAACAATAGTCTTAATTGTGTCGAACACGAAAAGATGAATGTTACAGTAAGGTTGAGGTAAGAATTGCTAATTAAACGATTACTATCTTTATGTGGTTATGTAATCCGGTCTATGTCGATTCATCTTTAGTATCATAAATAGGTGACACTTGGGATATTCACTAAAATTTAATGTGGACCCCCACTGAGCCAAAAAAGGACTTATTAATAGTAAAACAACCAATCATATATATAACCATGAAATCAAATCATGACTTTCTGTCACTATTATCATTAATATAGCAATATTACTATTATTATAACAACGAACTGAGCAAACAAAATAACTGTGCTCATTAGCATCTTTAGCATTTATCGACTCACTAATAAGAATGTTACTGTAGACGCAGTTCATAGTCATTACATCAATTTCGTAAAGCAGTCAACCTGCTAAAGCAGTTTAGAGGGAATTAGCAAAAAAGTTAAACAGAAAATCATGAATGATATTATCCGTAATAATAATTAATGATAATATGGAAAGACTTACCATTGTTGCAATATAAGACGGTCAACGATAAATTGATTAATAAATGAATGAAAATTACATGACGGGGATGAGTGGCAGTGAGATAATAGAATAAAGAAAAGATGACAGCAAATTATATTATACATGTATGTATGAATGCATTGCAAAATTAATACGTTGACACAAAGTATCATTTTAAGGATTAAAATAATGATGATGCTGTTGTTGATGAATGAAGTGAGAGAAAAGAATGGAGAAACGAATTCGAAGAGAATAATCCGAGCAAACTTGCTAACAAAATGAGGGAAAGAAACCGAAAACCGAGCAATTAGTTATAATTAGGTGAGATAAACATGGATAAGAAGAATGCGAACTGATGAATTGAACAAAACAAATGTTTTTATTAGCTGGTTAATTAATTAATTACTTCATCATCATCAATTTATCTAGCCATAAGATGTATCATCATCACCCATCGTCTATGCCGTGCGCATAAAGGAGACAAAGAGATAAGATCTCAACTTTTGCAGAAGATGAAGAAAAGTGACCGAATGAATCACAAAACGATTATCTTCTTCCTCAATATGTTCTGCACTTATAATAGGGTGTTGCGGGTGCATGCATGTACACAAGCAGGATGATTACATTTAATTGATAAAGTAACGACAACGACGATAAGTTAATCGCAATAGTAGTTATTTATGGTTGTTAGTTAAGTTATTATGCTCAATTTTTGTTCAATGATGTGAATATGTTATTAGTCTTTTGTCTTTCCGGTGAGGTGAGATAAGCATTATTAAATCTGTTGTTGTTGTCGTTATACTTTGATTATTCATCATTTTGAATGCGGCATTTCAAAGATTTTATGCTGTACACTTCTTTGAACGTCTTCTCTTGCTACTCATATTTATTCATCTAAAAAAGCATCACCCGCTGTCGCCGACATAATTGCATAGAATCATTGAATGAAAGGAACAAACTAATGTATATAGTCTTGATTATACATATGATTATTATTAGAACTATTGTTATTAGAACTAAGTTTTATACCTCATCTCCACATAATACAAATCTGTAATTCGATGCGGTTCTGGAGGGTTCTCATAAAGGTGAGAAAGGTTATTCAGATCAATACATTGTCTTTTCAAGCAGTAGTTTAAAATAATCCTATCCGTTGTACTCTATGACTTTTCTCAGCAACAATTACAGTGTCTTCAAATATCATTAACAATTAAAGCGCAGTTTGAAAGAGCTATTAAATAGAATGCTTGAAACTCAAAAGGAATTCAACAAAAATATGATATTGGTAACGTGAATAAAGATTCTGAGGTGACACGCTAACTTTTATACTGCATGAGATTTAGCACCGAAAGCGGTAAATAACATGAACAAATTCCTTTAAGGCGACTTGCCTGCTTCTGAATTTGATAGAATTCTTGGTGACTTGGTAGCAACTGCTGGAAAGGGAAACTGCGTAAGCGATGGATAGAAAGCCGAAAACCACATTGGGAGCCATGAACTTGGCAAATTCTGGCGACCGCTTGCAAGCCCTGGAAAACGCAAAACTTTTCTCTTGGAACCATTCAGTAGTTTATCAAAAAAGTGCCTATGAATTTATTAATACTTATGGTGGTCCATAAAAGCGTTCACTTTACAGTTAGTTTGACGAAAAAAGCGAAAGATACGTACAAGATGTATTTTTGAACTCGCAATAAACAATTTACTAGTGAAGCATATGTTCACTTGTGCCAAATGTGAAATATTTCCGGAACGAGACCTTCCTAATCAACTTCAATCAGCTGCTCTATCAAGAGTGCTCGTCTTCTTGCTTTTTCAGATATCTTCCGAATGCCACCTAATGTCAAAGGAAAAAAGAACATAAATAAAGGAGCAGAACACTTACCACCATGTAGAAATTGAACATATTGAGGTAGTGCAAATCGTGAATCGATCAGGTCTGAAAACGATTGTAGCGATGGAGACGTTGGCTCACTGCTTACCGCAACGTTGGAAGTAGCACCTGTTCGAATCAACTCTGAAGGCGGTGTCGATAACCTGAATTCATAATAGTGCTGATAAACTCAGGTCAGCCTTATCACCCCTGAATGTCAACTTTTATGAACTATATTCTCTCAGCCAAACACATGCAAGCGATCGTTTTGATTTATTATTATCGACGTTATTATGGATATTGAATTCGTATATCTTTTAAATTTTAATTACTGATTTATATAATTATCTGTAATATCTGACTATACCAGTTCATTTACTCACTTCAGAAAAAGAGATTTGAGAAGGATAGTGATTCTAACGATTGATTTGACGATGAAAAATGATACTACCTGATGAGAAGTCTGTAAAAGTGTTCAAATAACTAAAAACGCTCGTTATTCGTTCATTCTTCATACAATTAGTAAGTATTTCGTTTTGATAGTGCGTTCATGTTCAATGAATTCATCGCAAAATATCAAATTCTACTCTCAAAATTATCAAAAGATTTGTTCTAATTGATGCATCCATCCATTCACAATCTCCTCACCCATTTAATCACACATATAACCACTAAAGTTGAACTTCATAAGATCACTTCAGTGAAACTTTCTGTTATCATATATTTTTATAGATTAGAAATAGACGACGTCAAAACATCCAAAACCATCTTCTCATCAATAGTATCGGACTTATCCACTCTGTCGTTAGCCTATTCAGAAATATTGGCTGATAAATGTGTTGTGAAAGGCATTTTTCGAGAAGAGGATCCAAATAATGTTTGCATTCGCTTTAATGGAACCAAGCAAATCGTGTGATTAGAACTTGCATGAAAGCAACAGAAGAATTCTGATTAAAATGAGGAAAACTGATTTTATTTTCAATCAGAAACTGACCGTCGTCTTTTCGATTCAGAATCATTGTTGGCGTTCAAAATATCTGTGATCGAAAATTTGGATCTTGATGATGAAGTGCGCTTGTTCCTCGATGAACACGACAAATCCAACTGCTCATCACTCGTTCCTTGAATCGTATACATGACAGTAATGCGGCAGCATGATAATGACGAAAGCAGAACAATACTGATGTCATTGATAACAGTTAATCAATAGAAATACTGAGTATGAAAGTTAATTTGTTTCATATTTCTGCTTTGCCACGAAGTAAGAAAGCGCAAAAATTTCTACGTCATAATCTTTCTCTTTCCTGTATAAACTACGGCTCAACTGAGTGAGTTATGAGCTGATTTTCAGAACAAATCAAACGACTCGAATAAATTTTGTGGTTACCAGGCGTATTAGTTGTATCAAATGTGGCTGCATAATGATGCTGATGACGACTGAGAGATGCTGATGTGGGTTCCGTTTGATCGTAACATTCACTTTTAGCTGAGAGCTCGAAGTTGCGCTGTTTTGTAGTTAATGCTATTGGTGTTGTTGCTATTGTCGTTGTATTTGTTGCTGGTGAGGAGGATGGTGATGTTGGGGCTACCGATGTACCCATATCGACTTCAGTCGTTAACGATGATGAGGACGACGACCACATTGCCAATACAACTACCTCACTTCTTCGCAATAATTCTTGGCTAGGTCTTTTTCACTTCTGAGATTCTCAAATAGCACAAACTTATTCATGGCAATTAAATGTATGAGTACAAACATTCAGAGTGCACAATTATGGGTGCAAAATTCATTCACATTCAATGATGATCTATGCACAATCGTTTCAACTATTATAACAGTAACACTGTATCAGTTCGTATAACAATAACATGTACCGTAACTCCTCTATGCCTCGTTTATAGCAAGCAAATGAGGAAGGAACCAATCAATGAAGTAAAGTGTGAATGTTGAATATGATTATTAGTTAAATTAATGATAATACAACTAATAATGCTAAAAATAATAATAATAGTCATAATGATTGCAATAATGAATTAACAAAGCATTAAAATAATACGACGCTTGAAAGCAAAAGAAGAATGAGAATGAATGAATGGATGAATGAAAGTATGAGTTAAAAGATTACTGCTATGGTGCAAAAGAGCGGATATTACTAGGGCTAATCTGTGCGCAACAACTAATTAATTCGCATTTCAACTAATACACATCATCTTAATTATCATTGACTTGATTATGATCTGCATTATAAATGTACAAATAAAAACGATCCATGGTGTATCACATTCCACATTTAGTAGGAGGATAAACGGTCAATTTTACATATATAATCGAATATTTGATAGTTAATCCTTAATCCATATTCGTCTGACACCTTCTCACTTCCATTCTTTTGTTCATTCTTAATTTATTTTCTTCTTATTATTATTCTTATACTGATGTTACACACATAAATCGTTAATCCGTGAAAGGTCAGATGCATGCTTGTAAATTTATCAGATTTCATCTTCATAGAATTATTGATGACAGGATCGAAAATATTTATTTCGATATTCAACGAAATCGTCAAATAACTTCAAAAACGCAACACTATTTAACTCACATGTCGGCAATTATAATGATGCTACTGCTGCTACTATTAGAATAAATAGGCAGTTTTAGTTTAGGTTTTTTCATATTCATAAAAAGTTTCATTTATTACTGACTGCAAAAAATACGAACAACATTTCACAGATGTATTTGCTCGATCATGCTCAGATGATTTCTAAATGGAATCGCAATTTACGAACACAGTTTATTTCAGTAGCTTTATCATGGCTCGATCACAAGCATGAACGAAATCATCACATCAATAGATATGAACAATGGGAAAATTCCTTTTAATTCCAATTTCATTGGAAAATTTCTCATCGTTCATGAAGTCAGCTCAACGAATGATCAAGCGAAATTCGTTAAGAATCCTTTTAGCAGAACATGGAGTATTTTTTCATTAGTACATGAAGTATTGTTTTCAAACGATGTAGAAGAGCTGTATCGTTTTAGAAGAATACTTTATGTGTTCGCAATTCGTTTTCTTTTTTAGAATCAAGAAAACGTACTGTAGAATTATCAAAACGAAGAGTAACAATAACTAAACCAACCTAAACTGTTGCAAGACATTTAGAAAGAAAAAGGAAGTTATTCAAGAGGAAGAAAAATGTTGGCTAAAAGAATCCGTCCAAAGTTGAAAACATTCGAAGGCGTTTAATTGATTCCAACAGCCCAACACTTGATTAATGAAATCAGTCATTCGAATGAGCATAAAGTGAAAAAACAATACGTAAAAAGACTATTTTACAGTCATATTACAAGGCAATAGTACAAATTATCCGATGGTAAAAATGTGTGCAAACGAATGCTCATATGTACAAAAGTGATTGGAATACATTGGAATGTTTTACGCACTGACAGTTTGGTCGACGTCTCAAGCAGTTATGATGTGCTGATGACACCTCACCATTTCTGGAATTTTGCTCATGAATGAGCGAGTCGCAAAGGAAATTTTCAGGCAAAAAGGTGAGAATACATCTGCACGATGCAATTTGCATGAAAAGAAGATAGTCAACTGCAATCATGAAATGAACAGTTTTTGAAGTATCAAACTGAATTGAGAAACGTGAAAATATGAGAAATATTTACTGATTAACTGGCTGAGTCGCTTCTTCAATTCAAGCAGCCGAATAATCATGAAAGTAAAATTGATAATGGATTTGATCTACTCGATGAATCTTTTCATCATGAGTAGGTCATGCAATGGGATGGAGACTGACACAGAACTTTTTTTAAGATATTCACGATTAGATCCACAAAAGTGCGATCGAGCGTTGATCTATCCAGAATAAGATGTATAAGCATTGGCAGTAGTGGGAACAAGAGCCACAGTAGCAGCCGAAATAATGCAATACGCTTTCATCTGATGAGTGCTGACCATCGTTCGCCTGTCTACCCTTAGAGCGATCCCTCGAGCAACCACCGACTGCAGACACTATCAATAACGATACCCTTCCCTTTCTTCTTTCCTCAATTGCGCCATCAAAATCTTCTGAAATAACCTCAAATCCCCTCCCCTTCTCATTTGCCAATCTCCTTGAAATTCAGCTTCTATGGACTCTGGGTGGGTGGAGCATCGAAGATCGTATTACATGATCGGAGGGCGGATCACTAAAAGCTGATTGGCGGAAAATTGATGGTGTTCTCACACATTACACTATAGAATTTTGATTCTTTATTAGAACTCTTCTATGGCTATTGCTTCTATAACTGATAGTTGCACTAATTAAATACGGAAAGAAGAAAATAAGACTGGCTAAGTTATCATCGAGAAATGAAAGGAAAAGTCAAATCATCGGAAATTCATAATTCAATTCGAGACTTTTTCGCATCACATATTAATAATCTCGAATGCATCAACCATAATCCATTGTTTCGATCAGTCATTATTCATTTCTAAAGACGTTGTCATTGATTCCTCAAATTACTTCGTAGCGAAAATTATTAGCTGACTGCATTGGATGCTTTCATTAGTGTAATATCTCAATAAGATTTCATCCAAGTGTGATCTAGTTCCTTTGCTTTTCACTCCTTCATTAGCATAGTAATAATTTATTACGTTAGAAGTTTTGGTAAAATATTCTTAAAATGGGTAACAGATTATATTCAGTGTTCTCCTTTTTGATATTCAGGGTTTTGTCAACAAATTTCTCATTGAACACTTCTATTTATTCGATTAATTTGGATGAATAAAACATTTTTGTGCATTAATTATTGCAGCTCTCTTTAATGCGTTAATTTAAGTACTTAATGAACTGTTCTCATTCATAAATTGCATCATCAATTCCACTTGGAACAAAATGAATCTAACTGAATAATGCGTTCATATTCGAAATGGACATAACTTATGCAATGCGTTGTTCTAATTGTATTAGTTATGCAATATTTATTTATCTTTGTTTGCATTTATTTGTTCAATTAATTATTCTCGTCGTTCACATCTAATCTTCTTCATAAAACAAGAAACGTTTAAGAGTCACCAAAAAGGCGATAGCGACAATAATGACTGGGTGACGGCACATTTAAGGAAATGTGTATGTGAAGTAATTACGATAAATGAACAATTTTAAAACGAATGAACAAACATACACTTAACCACCCAATACATATTTACAAATACACATAACCTTATTTAATTGATTCAATTCATTTACAAATGACAACTAATGAATAAGACATCCTATCACTGAACTGCTTTTGATTGATTCAAAATCTCATCTCATTGTGCTTATCAGCTAAAATTTCGCTTCGTTTCATCTTTATTATGCTCTAATAGTTAAACAATTTTGAAACTATTTTCTTCCAGAAGTCATTCCTTAGAAATTGATTTTTGTTAAACACAAACATGAAGAGAAGCGGAGCTACATGGTACTCTCGATGATCAGACTGCTGCTGCTGCTGCTGTTAGCGTTGATATTTCTTCGCTTTTTCAGGTTATAGCGAAGTTCAAAATTGCAAAGATAGATTCTACCCGGTTCCCATCGAAGCAATTCTTCGTTCAACTACTGTTAAAATTAATATTAAGTAAATTGATTGGCGGTTGTGCAAATGGATGGACTAATATAATAGATTTGCAGATATAAGTGTCTGATGATAATGAGAGTATGAGAATAAGAATTAGATTTGAAGTTGGATATGGAAGAGGGCAAATGATGAAGAATATAATGACTGATTGTAGTTGTGATCAACAACTGAACACCTATTATTGTCACATGCACAGATATGCTTATTATAATGATCATTTTCATTAACATGATCATGGTCGCGGGATGGGATTGCATCTGTTTGCTATTCATTAACATATAAGTGTTATTGATCAATAGAAGAAAAGGCAATCGGAAGTGATGAGGTGTTTTTAGTGGATATTAATGTGACGAGAAGAGAGGAGTACAATTGTTGTGATTTGTATTCGCTGTTTGCTTACTTATTATTTCAACAACGATGCTGTTTGTTTAGCGTAATTGAGCCAATTGTGTTCAGTTCATTTCTCAACAACTCGACTTCCTTGTTATTATTAATGATATTAATATCATTATAATTAGGATTACTCTTACTACGAATCTAACTATTATTATTGCTGCTGTTGTTGTTGGTATTGTCAACATTCACTTCGTGCAGCACTCAATTTGCATTGCTCAAGAACTACAGATGAAAGAAGACCATTCCTTAAGTGAATTCATGTGAATGAATAGAGGATACAAGAGGATCAAATCATTTCTCGTTAGAAAAACAATTCACATGAACAAATGTACGATATTCCTATAGCAATAACAGCAGTGATCATTTGCACCATGCCAGTCATGGCCACATTCAAATCATGTGCAGTTTTGTTGTTTTGTAGCTGAATGGTCATTTAGTTACATTGTCGGATCAATGAAAAAATAAATTGTTGGAAATAAAAAGCAAAGATGAACGAAAAGAACGGAAGAACCATACGAGAGACTTCCGAATGATTTCGCTCTCAGCAACCTAATTAAATGGATGCGAAAAGGAAAAGAAATCAATCAATTAATCAGTCGATCAATAAATGAATAGATCAATAAATCAATCAATCAA